TACCGGCAAGTGTAATCTGGTTCCCGTTAAAAATTGAAAATGCCGTAATTCCGTCAAAAATCAATGAAGCGGATCGAAATGCAACTTGATCTATAACTCATTAAGGTAAAGTCACATACTAAAAATCAGCTCAATATCTGCAAGCGTTCAGAAAAAAAGTGCGGAAAACCCTGAAAAATTGAAAAGGTCATAATTCCGTCAAAAATCATTGAAGCGGAACGAAATGCAAACTTGATCTGTAACTCATCAAGATACACTCACATACCAAAAATCAGCTCGATATCTGCAAGCGTTTAGATGAAAAGTGCGGAAAACCAAGTGGGACAGACTGACAGAAAGACAGAGGGACAGACGGAGAGACGGAGAGACAGACAGACAGACAGACGGACGGACAGACTCAGAGGAAACCTATAGTCCCCTCCGGTTTCACCGGTAGGGGACTAATAAGGAGCTGGAAATTAACACTAAAGTGGATGTGTAAATGAAGGAAACAATTGGACAACTTGAACGAGACAGAGACGGAGACCGGGATCCACCCCTCTTATCAAAAAATGAGCTGGCACGAACCTTTGAGAAGGTTCCAAACCAACTGATCTACAGGTGAAATGCTGGACTTTAAATACACCACGCACTGAGGGTGTGTCTCTCATCCACTCAAATTGGGATTATCACTAGTATATGTGTTTATATTAAATATATCAGTATAATTGCATCTATATTGGTCATACTTTGAACAGTATAGAACAAAATGTTTTTCATCTTCAATAAATAATTTACATGAATAGCATAGACGTTTTTTCTCTAGGAATAGGGGTTTACAGTATCTACCCGTTTCAATATATAATGGATGGGCACTGATCCTTTATTTTGTTAATACAGATCTAAAACTTCTTTTCAAAGGCAGCTTATTAATTGATGATTGTTATTCCGTTAATAATAAGATTGTTTATAGTTCAAATTCCCATCATAGTCTATGTGCAAACCTTTTACACTAGAGTTTAAATTACGCAATGCAAGAAAAAAGAATTTGTCATTGTAAATCTATTACGACACTGAATGTCTTTGAAATTAAGTTATTTATTTATCATGTATTAAAAACTCGTTTTATGACTGAAATATACCCCCCCCTTTTTTTTTTTTTTTTTAAATAACATTGACTTAAATTTGCTTGATTTTTGTAAATGGATTGATTTTTGTACGGGATATGTCATTTGACAGTCCCACCCTCTTGGTTTTTTTTTTTTTTTTTTTTTTTTTTTATGTTTCATCCTCTCTTGAATGTCTTTATCTGGGCCCCATCAAGTTCAAGGTAACAAGGTTTGGTTGCTTTGCATGTAACATTTCTACTTTGGTTATTATGATTTAATTATTTCTGTTTCTGAATGTCATTTCACTGCAAAGTTATATACTTGTACATATGATTAAATGGATAATAGTAAATGTTGTGTGTACATTTTTGTTCTTCAGTATTGAAATGAGTTTTTAAGTCATAAAACAATAACATTTTGTAACATTCAGTTTTATATATGTTTTGCTTTTACGCTGCTGCCTTAAAATTTATTCAAAATGTCGAATATACTCCAACACTTCCTCTGTGTCACTTGCCTCTATGAATGATTCTGGATTCGACAGCACGTCAAGTCTAAAACGTTTAATATAATGAGGCAATGAAAATTTCAATTTCAAACATCATGTCCTTTTTCAAATATCATCTCATTTCAATTCAAGAACCATCTCCTTGTTCCCAAAAATCTTGTATTATCCCCAAAATAGTATATTAAGGAGCTGATTGTTCTCACTACAAGTTAGTCATATCTGACTGAATAAAAAATGTCTCTCTTCACTAAAATATTGTTTAAGCAGTAAATAAAATAATCAAGGTATAATAGATGACATCGTTATTTAGTCATGTTCGGATTGCATTTTTTTCCACATATTTCCATATTTTGCCTTTTGCCTTATATTTTATCATAAAATTCTGAATAACTTTCATGAAAACCCTGTTTTAATACAGAAAATCTTACCATTAACACCTTACCTCATACTCAATTTTTGATTTGAACTTTTCTTATCTATTTCACTTCTCGTCATGATATAAGATACTGTGTAATTTCATATTAGCTGAATCAATTTATACAAGAGGAAGCTAGTTTAAAAATGTAATAATAATATACATACACCTCTTTTCGGACGTAGCTGTTGTATGCACCACCGTTTTTATAAAGCACAATCCTCCTCTACTTGCTCTGGATTTCTGTGTTTATCAGCCATCTGTGACTAATTGAACTCAACAGCTCAACACACATTTTTGGTGTTTTAATTGCTGCGACTATTTAGCGACTCTTCGAACTTTTGTATGAATGTAATTATAAAACTGGATTGGTTATCTTGATTTAAGCGTCATTAACAAACTGCCCCTGAAAACATTTAGTTACTGTATTAAACAAATGTAGAATTATTCAGTCATTTATTTATTAAACTGATGTAAAAAAAAAAAAAAAAAAAAAAAAAAAAAAAAAAAAAAAAGATGTCTCCTTTTTAGCCCGCGTCGGACAGTGGTTAAAGAGGCTGATTTAGAGTTGCAGAGAAAGAAGCTGATCCGGGTTCGAATCCACTGCAGGATTTGGAGATCGGCCCTTCGGATGAAACAGTATAAACCGAGGTCCCGTGTCGAAGTAGGTCTCGGCACGAAAAAGACCCTTCACTGCTCAATAGCCCTAAGTGCCGAGTATAGGCCTCCACTGGGAAGTGGTGGTGACTCCATATGAATGAAAAATTCTGGAGAGGGACGTTCAACAACAAACAAACTAACAAACGTTTTTCATTAAAACATTTGTTGTTAATTCTATACCAATGAAACAAGTCTTACAATTAGACTAAGCTGTTAAGCTTAACTAAGATTTTAGAATTAATAAACAGGCGCTTTAAAGAGTAAAGAGTAAAGGAAAAAAATGATAAGTTGATACAAATACAAGAAAGCTAACATCAATATAATTGTAATCGATAAACTGGCCACTCTCTTTGCTATGGAGGAAGCTTACCTAGTTGCATGGACAAAGATGTGTTCTTATCTCAGAATCTAAATCTCCTTAAATTCAGTATAATAAAAAGTTACAATACAACTGTCGGGCCAATGTACTTATCCCGACTTAGAATAGAAAACTTGCCCTAAGATAGGAGCAATGTTGGACCAGCGTAATATTACCAGCTTAAATGATATTTTCAATTAGGCCTAGGGTATAAAAAACACTAGGCCAACACTAGGCAAACGTAATGCTCCCAACTCATGCACATTGTCCTGCACATTGGTCCAACATTGCCGATGTTGGATCAATGTTTTCACTCTAACTAAAAGAAAATTTTAAAAACACTCAGGATTAAAATGCTCCAATGTTGGGCCAACATACTGTTACCAGATTAAATTATCAACTTCGTTAAGGGTGCATTACAAATGTTGGGCCAACAATGGGCCAACATTGAGCTCCCAACATCCTTAGAAAATATAGCAAAACGGAATTGTTTGATTTTGGACAAACTTTGGGCAAACGTAAGAATCCCAACATGGTTGGATACTAAAGAGACGATTCTCAAGGTAACATTGGTCCGAATTTGGCCCAGCATTGTCTACCCAACGCCAACTATCGGTCAACAATACAACCATTAACCAACGTTGGCTAAACGTAGTCGTGCTGTCTGGGATAATAGTGAAGCAATACGATCATTCTCTGGCACTGGATAAGCGTGTTTTACTGTACAAATATCAATCAATTGTTGCCTACATATATTTGTTTACACAGTTAAGTGATTTATTTTCACAACAATTTAAATAGCTTAGATTAAATATTTCTTGTGTCGCGTCGTCTTCTTTCTATTCAATGGAAAATATCATTCATAAAGTCACCAGGTCTCATGTACCAAAAGTCTAAAAAGACGATAAAATATTTTCAGTTGTTGATCTAAAAGGTGATGAGGAGAATAAAAACAACAGTATTGCGCAGCAAAGTTAAGGCTGCAATAAGGAGGCAGGGCCTTATTTGTACAGGAAAAGTTTAATATGACGTCACACAAAAATATCAGGTCTTCAAATTACTATAAAATAAAATATTTGCCATTTTAAACAATTTGCTAGCTCTAGACTATATCAAAACTTACTATTACATGCAGTTTTGTGTTTAGTTAAATCCTATATATCAAGATAAAAACCATTCTCTGATCGCAATGTACTTGTCAATGTGACGTCATATCGTAAAAGGTGACACATTTGGTATACAATGAGAGGCTGATCAAGTTACATAATATACAATGAAAATGTTTCTTGTAGTCAAATAAGATATTTTCTGAACATATATAAGAGGCCGTAAATGTAATGAACCTAATGAAATCCTGCAAATGAATTAATTATATCTATATTTAATGTAGATGGACAGCGAACTATTTAACATGCGGTCTAACATATTTAATTTAAGCAATTAAATAGTAGAATCTATATAGGTTCGCTGCACTTTCCAATAACTATACAGAGTGCTGAAAAGAACCAAAAATTAATCTTGGAGTTTAATTTGGTAGTGCACTTGCAATATTGGAATTTGTAGAATGACCTCAATACTGCAGGTATATTTGCTAAAATCACGTGACTCCCACATCACGTGACAAGTCTAAATATAAAAAATCTAATTGTCCAGAACATGTACATTTGAACCACATTATATTTGTCCGATATCAGAAAAGTCCAAAAAAAGAATCGTCCATCCTTGTAAGGAATGTATTTTTTATCTGAAAAATTCGCCGATATTTCCGTTTGTCACCTTAACTGTACTGCGTGATAAAACGATCAGTAGTTTTGAAGTAACTCAGTGCCATAGCTTGGAGCTCAGTCTATGGAATTTGGGACAACCCTCATACAGGAATATGTAATTAAAGAGCTAGGTTCACTTTATGCATAAAATGGCCCTGTCCTTATATCAATTAATTGATATAAAATATATAATTGACATAAAATATTATTTTTCCATGTACTGCAAATACTTGTACACAGAGACAGTGGAACTTCCACTTCTCCCAACCAAGAGATTGTGTTGATCATCAACACAGAGAGCACAGGTATATGGAGGACAGTGTTTTGATGTGAGTAGGAAAGACAGAAACCTACCATTAATGTCAAGCAGGTGGACACTAGAGCTATTCTCATTATGTGAATTATAGCCATTACACACCAAAATGTGTCCATGAACATTTGTACAGACTCCATATGGGCAAAATTGTAACTGAGAGTGATGACCAGAATAAGAGAACCTGTATTTTCCTGATTTGGTCACCACCTTCACCTTTTTGGCCCTCTTATCTGATGTACCGATATCACCATTAATGTTCTCTGTGATGCAGAATATACTTTGGTAGAGAGTTTGTCCTTTGTCATCCCACTGTATATCCTGTAACTTCCTTCCTTCTCTGGTGTATCTGCTAATTTTATTTTCTGAAATTCTTTCCATCCCAACCAATATGTGTCCATTGATAGGAGAGGAAAAGATGGCTCCAGGTTTCCAATTCCCTGTTTCGATTAGATTGTTTATGGACATGTCACTAGTTACTCTGTTAACAGTTTTTTTGCTGTTATCTGTATAAAGAAGTTCTCCCTCTGCTGTGACTGTGTTGATACCCTGGGAATTCCAAATACTGGTTAATATTTTCTTTGATAATATGTGTCCTTCCATGTCATACAGAATGAGATTCCCAAAGCGATCATTCGCCCAAAATTTTTTCGGAGGCAAGAGAGACAAATGATAAAATGTATGTCCTGGGAAAGTTAATTGATTTACTTTTATGACAGAAGAAAGCTTAAAAGTTTCAGAGGAATCTAGTTCAATTTCACCAAACTGTTTGGCTATTTCTTTTTTATTTAGTGCACCTAGTGTGAAAATTGGCAGTTTGGGTTTTATTTCGTTAGGCATCTTCATGGTAGCTAATGAAATATCTAAATGGAATTTCATGAGTTCAGTGGGTTTTATTGATGACATTTTACTCTCAAAATTTGAAATCATTTCTTCCAGGTAATTTATGTAGTCCTCTGTTTCCCGCTGTTCTTCCTCCATATCATTAAGGACAGAGTTCTCTATATCATCCAGAATTTTATTATTATAAGTTAGTATACTGTCAACAGCTTTCTTCAGTTCATCTGCTCTCTTCTTCATGGAAATTCTTGTCTTTGCAATTTCTTTCTTGACATTTTCTCTCTTTTCTCCATTTGATTCAATATTATGTTTAGTTTTAGGTATGACTGTTTTCCAAATATCATTAATTTCCTTCTGACATTGCTGAAGAATGTCATTGTAGATGGTCTCAAGGTCACGGTTTACATGATCACTGTGGTGTTGGTGAAAGCATGTTGAACAAAGGGGATCCTGGCAAACCTTACAGTAGTTGTCTATATCTTGTGAGGGATGGATCCTGCATTTCTCTGAAGGAAGTTTTCTTTTCCTTGCTTGATAGCGTACAATCTCATGTCCTTTATTCTGTTCTAGATGGCGCTGTTTGCATTGGTCACACATTGGCTGGTGACAGGTATTGCAGTAAAACTCAGAGAATTTCCTACAGGATTCCGTTCCACACTCAATAATGTGCTGGGCTGTGTCCGGTACTTGGTTCATTATTGCTGATCAAAATTCTAGATAATATTTATAATCAGACTGTATCTAAGGCACTTATAAATGGGTATGGCTTACAAAGCACACCACACTTTATATTAAAGAGGAAAATAACTAAGCTTATTACCTTTTCTGTGATCTCGTAAATGAATCTCTTTCACAAAACGTAGTGTCAGCCATTTGCAATGTGTATCCATGTAGAATGTAATTTACTCTGCTTTAAATAAAGGCATTTAAATATCCGTACAACCTGTGCACAGAAGAAGAAATGAAAGGGAGAAATAGGACTAGAATAGGACTAGAATGCCGTTCAGTAATTTAAATATCATAAGGGTAGAGTGAAAATGGGATCATAATGTTAAACAAATTGGCTGGTTCTTTAGAAATGTTTGTCATCTAATAAACAAAAGATATAGTTTCATAATTCGAAGTTATTCATTTATATATATTGTCCTTGTGCTCATGTAATGTTGTTAAGCTAAGGAATTCATGCATTCTTGTGAGAATTCACTGAAAAGGGTAATGGAAATGGGTTTGCTATTTTTTAAAGAGTTAAAGATACTGTAAAACAAACCCAAGGGGAAAAAAACGCATCAAAATTTATGCACAATAGACTCTATTCACGCACGCGCTGAAGTTCATTTCGATAACGAGGCTGACCTGACAAAAGCACATGTGCGAGCAGACGCTGAACATGGACGGTCCTGCAAAATCGAGCTCTGCGGCTTATTGCTGTGTGCCGCTTTGTAACGAGGATAGTCGTCGGGGTACAGCAACATCCTTCCACTTTTTTCCAAAGGATCCATCTCTACGGAAAGAGTGGATTATTAAGATACGGCGAGACGAAGGCCCCGACTTCCATGTAAGTTTTTCACGTGCCTTACACAGAGTTTATCGGTTTTGTGGATATAAAAAATTCCCTCACTGAAACATCTAAAAAAAAATTACAGATTTATAATTTGACTATATTTTCCTTTAACTTCATTGAGTTTTGTAATACAGGACCTTTTTAATTTATCACAGTGAGGCGATAGATACCGCATAACCAGTGTTGTTTACGTCCATTTTGCTTTCAGTGCAAGAGAGGTTTCGTATCATCTCGCACTTTCTTTAACTGTTTAAATCTCTATATGGTATTAAGTTAGATTATTACATTTCGATATAACAACTTTTAATAAATTTTCTAAGTCGTGAAAAATGTTTTTGAATGATAGATATGAACGTGAAAAACGAAGCCCCACTCCAACCAACAGCTTATTTTCACACAGAAAACCAACTCTCTTCATACCATGCAAATGGGATTATATGCAGCCTGTACTATCAGTATTAAATCATATATACTTTATAATGCTGCATTTTTAATATTTAATAGAATTAATTACAATTAATAGGCCATATGGATATCAACAAAACAATATAAAATGCCAGCCATAAATTATTCTCACAATCAGTATTCTCGTTTGAAAATACACAATACACACTTGTAATCAGATGTCCAGTTCCTTTTAGTTTTAACTGTGGACTACTTATTATCATATTGTGCATAAGAAAAATTTGTTTATATACAATATATCCTTGTTCTATGCACCAACTCGATTTTTTTATCGCATCCTGCAACTACCCTTTGCATTGACCTAATGAAGGTAACCTATAAATAATCCAAAGCAGTATATTCGGCCAATGCCCTAATAAAGCCTTGTGCACCTATTCTATAAAATATAGTTATTTTACCCTTTTAACTTTATATACATACATGTATATAGGAGACATTTTAACAGAAGAAGTTTATGATAATATAATTTTTAATACATGCATAATTTATTTCTTGAAGTGTTATTCGATTGAAACGATTACACTATCTGCTAATAGATTTAAACTTTTAATGTAACAAATAGGCTAGGTGTTCTACAACTTGAATGATATTTTTCAGATATCCAAGTCCACATTTGTGTGTTCAACGCATTTTAAGGAAGATGATATTGTGAAAACATTGACAGGTACAAGGCTACAAGCAGCTTCAAAGTTTGAATTCTTCTGGTTTTACCATTGTTTAATCTTTTCAGCTTGAATTTTAATATAGCAAAGTTAGTACTTTAGCATTGATAATTTTAATTTACGAGAAATTATTGTTCAATTCTAAATATAGTCTTTCCAAGAAATCAAGGTCACATTACTATTTAACAGTTCAATAATTGAAATTTGGAATATAGTACAACACGCATGTTATATTTTGATTTGGAAATAGATGATAAAATCTATAATAATGTTAAAATTAACATTCATGTACATCTCTTAGGACTGAGAAAATTGAAGAGAGGCACAATACCCAGCTTATTTCCCTGGACCAAGAGTGTACCAAGCCGTAAACCACCCAAGAAGAGAGAAGGACCTCCTCAGTAAGATTTGTTAGCCATGATACAATTTGCAGTATTATTTAATTTGCTTATGATAAACAATGCTGCATTTGTATCATTTAAGCATCAAGTTGTAAATTTTGATGTCCTTCATGTCGCGACATGGAAAGCTGTGCTCACAAATTGAGTGACATGCATAAGCACATCATGTAAATGTGTTTGTACAACTAGTCATGTTACAACATGATGAATATGAAAAATGGACAATTCGCTACTTATAATAAAATTTGTTGATTAATAAATACAGCTTAAATAATGCACACCATACCTGTATAAGGCCTTAATAAAAAAAAATCCTATATTTTCATCCTCCTTCCCCAATTTTTTTTACCCCGTCTCTATTTTTTATCTCTTTCTGATCAGGATCAGTATTCAACTTACTATTCAACTTTTGTTTTATATCCCGTGAATGTTGGTGTGATTTTCACAGCTTACAAAATGGTTATTGCTGTAATATGTATATGTATTTAACAAGGATCATTGGTTATGAAAGACTGGTGATGATGTGTAGTTAGAGATATACATGTTTAAATTGACCTCTAACTATGACTTTTATTTGGACATAAAAGATAAATCTGCGTCGATTGATCAGGTCAACTAAAAACTGTATAATGGAAAGATTAAAATATGTAAAATAAAATCCTCCCGCCTGCCTCAATTAAAAAATAATTGGATGAGAATATAGGAATTTTTTTAAAATTAAATCCTGATTATAGGTTGACTGAGCGGAAGACTCAAGTGAGATTTTCTGATCAAAATTTGTCCGTTATCTGTTGTCGGTGTTGTTGTCATCATTGTAAAAAATATTTCACATTTTGTTCCTCTCCTTTAGAACCATCGAGATAGTTTCAACTAAACTTACATAGAATAATCCTTGGGTGACGGGAAATCAAGTTAGTTCAAATCCTCTTCCAAGGGGAACTAATTAAGAAATAGTAAAAATTGTATGGGATCCTTTAAAAATCTTTTCAAGAACAACTTGGCCAGAAAAGATGAAACTTATGTGAAAGCTTCCTGACATAGTGTAGATTTGAGTTTTACATAGGAATGCATAGAAAAATAAATCTGTACCCCTGTAAATTTAAAGATATATATCCTTTCAGGTTAGTTTAAATCATCCCTTGGGGAGGGGGGCACAATATGTGATCAAAGTCTTGCAAGAAAATACCTAAATTGTTTTATTTAGACACTATTTTCCCAGTTGAATCTGTATTGGTATGAATGGTAGTGTAACAGGTCTTTCTCTCTCTCTCTCTCTCTCTCTACTTTCTGTCTGCGAGACTCGCTAGGGGTTGCATTACACGGCTCAACTGAGCTGAGGAGGGCTCATGTGGCACAGTGGTTTAAAATTCAATACCCTTAAATTCTATTTCACAACACTAAGTTATCTCCCTTATATTGATACTGTTTTCGATTCCTATCAGTTATCTCCCTTTACTTAATAACCTTTTAATTACTCAGACAACTCTATCACTCATCACTGCCTACAACTTATACATCCTTTCATTAACCCATGCTCTCTAAGTTACACTAAATTTATTAATAAAAGAAATCTCTCATCTTTTCTTCTCTATTTTTAAAACCTTTCACAATGAAGTCACCAAAATCCTCTAAGTACTCAGTATCTTGTTACTCAGTTCTTAGTCTTTACTATCCCACTTGATACTTATTTATTTATATACTTCCAACTTGATCTTTACTATCCCACACTTCCAACTTGGTTGGAAACCTTGTAAATCTCTGTATTTGAAATGAGACAAAATACAATTTTACAATTTATTATAATGATTATCTCTCAAATAAACAAAAAACAAATCTAAACTCTTTCTCTTGTCTTAGTCACTCTGTCCCCGAGGATACTTGTCGTTCGGTACCTATTCATTCATGAGTACACAGAATAACGAAATGATACTGGCAGACGCGTCGCCCAGTATAAAAAGGCGTCACTCTTTTGAGTCTATAAGGGACACAGACTCGAGGAGTTCATTCGGTGCCCCTAGGATTATCCTCAGGGATATTAAACATACGTCATATGTACAGTCTTCAGATTCCCAGATTTGGTATAAAACCAATAGTTCATACAAAAAAATGAAAGAATGTAAAGTTTCTATTAGAGATATATTCGAAGACTCCTTTTCCGATCCCATGTCTTCTATTTCAAAATGTTCTGCAAAAAACTGTAAAACCTGTGACATTTTGATAACTAACACTTCTTTCACCAGTAATCTTACTGGACAGAGCTTCTGTACCAAAACTTGGGAAAATCTGAACTGCAAATCTTCTAATGTTGTCTTCGGAATAGAATGTAATCTTTGTGGACTTGTTTATGTTGGTGAAACTAAGGGATCACTCAATAAAAGAACATCAGGTCATAGATTTCAGATAAATAACGGGGGTCAGCAACTTTTATACAAACATTTTAATTTACCCGATCATTCTATTTTGTCAATGAAAGTTAGAATTCTAGAAAAGATTTACCACCACACAAACAGTCCATCACTGAGTACACCTTTCCGTAGACAACGAGAAGAATTTTGGATTAGAAAGCTAGGGACAGCCTTTCCCTATGGATGTAATGAAAATGTTGAT